GATACAAGAGTGGCATTTATGATGCTCGGATTTGTGAATCGTCGAATTCCTCGGATGCGCGGGAGATTCTCGGGTGTTCGGCTCTTGAAATTCAGCTGCTTCTTAAATCGTTTGACAGTGAGAAGAATTACTCGAATATCGAATCATCCGCGATTCCCTCTTCAACTTCTTGTTTCACCCCCCACGTTTCCGATATTTATCCGTTTTTAATTTTATCTCCCGTGTTTCTTATCCATTTTCGCCATCAGCCTTTTCTCCCGATTCTCTTTATAGCGCGCTATTTAAATTCTATTGATTTCAACATGCCTGCCTCGTCGAAAATGCTAGGTATTTGAGGGACGTAGTTTCCATTCTTTCTTGTATATTAATAAACGGCGGTTTCGGATTCTCGAATTATCGGGTTTCCGATCGATTCTACGGAATCTTGAAATTCCCTTTGCTCGAGGCTGACAATTATTATTCCCCGAAAAGATCGGCGAGCGGAGAACTGAAGCTGTGATATGATTTACGGAGGAGATCAACATCGTCGCTCTGAGTGGCCGCGTGGAGAACACAGTCGTCGTCAGGATATCCCTAATAAGACGAAACATCCTGTGTACACGTCGTACACCAGACTGCACACGCGAGCTTTTACCGTGGCGATTTCGCTGTTGAATACAAGCAATGAATGCAAGCTTGATAACCGCACCGTCGTCATCCTTATCTGTACACCGTAATCCTGCATGCTGTGTCACCGTAGCTCGCAGGACGAGGCGATAAAGTGCCATGCTACAGTCGCATTCGACCTTGCCGCGCGTCATTGTGCAGGTAATCCCGGCATTAACCCTACTGGACTTCCTAGTTTTACGTTTCTATTTACATTTCGTTTGTTCTCTCCTTGCTCTTTTTCCTCTCTNTCTCTCTCTCTCTCTCTCTCTCTCTCTCTCTCTCTCTCTCTCTCTCTCTCTCTCTCTCTCTCTTGGGCGTAAAAGTCCTCTAAAATTATTCTTTTGATAAAGAAAAAGATGCGACATTTATTTGAGGATGTATCATCCATAACTCAACACTGAAAATAATGAAGAAATTATGAATAAATCACAAATTGATCTACATTGTATTTTAAAGCAACACCAAAAGTTTGACAGTAATTCGGAGCATGGATAGAAAGTTGTTTCACTTTAAGGAAAGCTGTAAAGTGAAATGAATTTAATAAGAATTCGATTAAATTTGCACTGCGTATACATCGAAATATTATCTAACTCATTGCTCGTGCAATTAGAAAAAGATTGGCCATTCGAGGGCTGAAATATTTGTAACTAAAGTTGACACTCTTCATACGTGTTCTTTGAGATTACCAGGCTATTGTTAATTTCTATTTTTAATTAAAAAAAAGAACTAAACTAAAGAATAAGATTTTAATGAAAAATTACTATTTTATTAAAAATTAATATCATTATATACAAAGATTAATATGATATTAATATGACACAAGGATTAATATGATATTATATACAAATTTCAGAATTATTGACCATTTTGTTTCGAAAATACAGCGGTATAAATTCATAACTTATAGTAATACTCGAAATATATATGCATAAATATATTCATACATATTTAAACATTCATATGTCTCTTTCTATTATCTGTGCATCTCTATTAGATCAACCGATGCATAAATATAGCATTAATAAAAAAAATAATGATAATATTTTCGTATTTATAATATTGTGCTTAAAACTTGTGATATACCTCAACTTCGTTTCAAATTAATATTTATTCTTTAGGTAGTGAAATAAATGTATAAGAACGTAATTTTGCTTGAAAAATACTAAATTTATAAATGGCCCGGGTTGATGCGCCATTGAAAGTACGGCACTAATGAATAAAAAACATCCTTAACATTATTGTCGCTTTGCATTTGGAGGAACCAAGCGCTTCTCCAATTCTTTCGGAATCCTCTTGATGTGAGAAGGCGTATATCTCTGCATATTGAACGAAAAATCTTCTCTCTCGGAATTTTTTTTACACAATTTGCAATACCGATAATATCGTGGCGGTGGAAGCCGGGATTAAGTGCAGACGACGCAAAGTCGATCTGAGGTGTTTCAAGGGATAAAGTTTTGATTCATGCATGATAAATGCACAATCTGGTTCAGCCGCTGGCGGCATTTGCCAGCCGGGGGGCTGAAGGGATTAAAGGAAGCGTTGCTAAGAAGGCGGATGCAATATCGAGTTTGTAAAATAAAGCGATCTAACGGGAACGTAGATACTTCTCGTTTACCATCCGCGATATCAAACTACGGAGCACCGCTTTATGAATATGTAAAGTCCGTTAGAGGCGCTCCGGCAAATTGTTTGCGGATCGCGTCAAATATTGACAGGGCGCTTGTAAATTTATTCAGGAAAATAATGTATCGCAGCCGCGATGAGGTAGGATAAGTCGGAATCCCGATTTTCCGCCGTAAGAGCGAAGTGAGATTCCGGCCTTTCCTTTTCGAAAAATGCGGAGCGCTACACGATTGCGAGATCTCACAATACCCGGAATTTCGAATATCCGCGGATTTGACAAAATCATAGTTTACGATAAATAAGCGCAGATAAATTCCGCCCCTCTTTGATCTCCTTACCGCAAATTCCAATTCCTATATTCTGGTATATTATGGATATTTCGGCTCTCGTGTTCGTTCTCGAAATCCTAGAGTCTCGAATTATCGAGTTCTCCACTTCTAAAAACATTCTCTTCACAATTTGTGAGTATACATGTGATTCATACATTCATGTGTGAATCGCATTTTTTTAATAATCTCATACATGACATCATATCTTTTATAAACAGAATGTTTTTATTCTTCTAATAAAAGTTAAATTAATATTATATTAATTACATAATATATTAATATATTATATATATTAATAGCCATATAATTAACAGCCATATTAATAGCCAAGTTATATATAACCATATTAATTTATATATTTATAAGCGAGTAATATAAATATAATTATCACATATAAATACATAAGTACAATTATATATATATACTAAATACTTACACTAGAGTATAATATTATAACATTCGCATTTTCAAATAACCAAACACTGAAAACGCGTGCGTAAATGTCAAAATTCACTCTTCGCGCGATGACATTTGTCATCGGTAATTGATTTACTCGGCAAAAAAGGAATAATGATATTACACGCCTTTTTATAAATCATATATAAAAGGTCTCTCTTTTTATCAAAGCAGAATATGTACTTCCAGGTTATATCAAGAGACTAAATAATCTCGAAAGCAAGAGGCAGAAGCTACAAGGCTGCAGGCATTGCCGGATATTCAGAATTACCGAAGGAATTCCTTCGCGAATTTCCGGCCGTATAAAACGGGGCTTAGCGAACAACACGTGCCCTGGGACGTGTATTTCGGACAATCGGCGGAGTCGCCAATTAGGAAGCGCGTGAGGAAACTACAAGGACGATAATGAAAATAATAATTAACCGGCGTAGTTGCGGTCCATTAATTGATTCAGCCGCGCCGAATCGTCATCGTCGTTAATTAACTCGGCCGGCTAATCAACCGGCCGTTTGCGTCCCTAATAGCATCGACAACGTTCATTTTTCGCGACACGACGTTGACGCCGAAGCCGAGCCCTTCGATAAATTAACCGTCGGAAGTGCGAGTGAAGTCTGCAACACTGGAATTTCATATCTCGCGCGATATCAGCGAACTGTTCGCGTCGTTCGGAATTTCTCATCAGAATCTGAAATCCGATGCTGTTGATATATTATTTTAACCCTTCAAAGTTCACACATCGGCCTCACTGGAGTAAAACGTAATTTATAAAGAGGCCGTCTTAAAGAACGTTTCCGATGAATATCTTTTTGTCCGGATAAAATCATCGAGAAGTACGATTATCGGAATGTATTATATATATATACAAGTCGCGAAATCCCAACGATAATTCCCCGCGAAGCTCTCGCCGTGAGAAGAAGACTGCAAAGTGGTGACACTTCTTTTAACAAGCCGGACAAGCCGAGAAAAAGCAGGAAGAACTGTGATTCTCCGCGAGGAAGGAAGTTTCGCGAGGATCAACTGCGAAAGCGGTCGAGAGACCGGTCACGTGGGAGGTGAGAAAGGGGCCGAAGGGTGCAGGAGGGTACAGAAGGCAACAGGATGGCGATGTGGCTCGCTATCGCGAGGACGGCGTGATTTGTTGAATTATGACCAGTGCCAGCCCGGTCGCTGCGATCACCCTCGCGTGTTCACCCTTCCGGCATTACCATGGCGAATCAGATTGACGTGCCCCTTTCGTGCGCGCCATCACCGCAGCCGCTTGTTTTAATTACATCAGAAGTGATAAGCGACACTTCGCCCGACAATTCCGCACGCAGACCTCTCGCGCATCGATACCGAACGGGTTTCCAACTCTCCCCTCCTCCCTTTCCTCTCTCTGTCCCGCTTGCGCAGAGAGGGTGACTATGATATTTTACTCAACAAAGAACTAGACTTCTGAATTTTTCAGACCCGTTCTCTCTCTTTATCGCACGGGACGGCCGTTATTATCCTTTCGCGCGCCAGCAGTGCCGTAACGGGCGCCGTAACGGAGTCGAAAATTTTTTATAAAACGCGGGTCGACCGCGCTACGCCTTTTAAATCAGTTGTAAAAACAACGAGGTGGCGGTGGTTTAAATTCAAACCCCGAAAGGCGCTGTCGCGGCGTTTTTCGCCGTCTTATCAATTTTAAACGCGGCCTCCGCGACACTCTCGGTGGGCGGACGCGCTCGACTACAGATTTCGAATTCCGGGACACAATAGCTTGCGATCCCGCAGACCGGGAATCCTTGGTTTCCGCTTGAGCGAAGCCCGCACGTCCTCAAGACATGGTAATCCTTTACAGGACCGTGAGAACTTTGCAGAGCCCTTCGGGGTCTGAAAAATGACCTTTTAAGGGCGCGCGACGCGTGAACCATCAGGTATCGAGAGAGTCGATCGATCACAGGATAATTTTATTGATTGCAGCCGGCGCAAGGGACGGCGGCGGCAGGAGGTACCCCGTGATCGTGTTCGTGCACGGCGAGAGCTACGAATGGAGCAGCGGAAATCCTTACGACGGCAGCGTGCTGGCGAGCTACGGTGGCGTCGTCGTCGTCACCATCAACTACAGACTCGGCATCCTCGGTGAGCCACGGCTTGATACTTTTAATAGCGCTCTCAGCGTAACCCGGCGGTATATCACCACACCGGAGAAAAATAATTTGCCGTTACAGCGAGACCGTCGTTGCCACTACGTATTCGTACACGACAGCGATAACATTCAGCCAGCACGATCTAATTAACGAATTATTCGTAATTAGAGCAGGAAGTTTTGTCGCCAAGGAAAATATTCTGCCGAATAAATTTGCCCCCGGGACACGTTAACTCGCTGTTAAAAGAAAATAGTGTTTCCTTAGATTTACTAATTTCGTCTTGCGGCGAAATAATTTGTAAATTCAGCGAAGTAATTCCGCGAATGGCAATTAGTTTTCATAAAAAATCGTTTCGCCGACTGTAAGGTAACTGGCAGATTTTGCTGCGTCAGCATAAAATTTGCTCCGCCAGCAAATTATTTTTCTCCATGTGTACTCGGGCAATGTACATATCTGCGTAGTTAACTCCCCCGCCCCCCTCTCCTTCCCCTCCTACCTAATGCAAAATGAATAATAAAAATATATAATTATGTGGTATTTATGCGCTTTTCGAAAATGAAACGCAAAATTTTTGCGCTCTTTGCACTACGGCAGGAAACAGAATTTTTAGCTAGGGGAGGGGGGAGGCTAAATGGGCAGCCAGTCATTCCACCTGTAAATAACAAGCTTGTTCAGCAAAACGAATATGTAGGAATTGTGCGCTAATGTGCGCTCTTATAATAAAGTAATTTAATAAAGTAAATTTCGTTTTTTTCGTTGCAATTCTTACGCTAAAAATCGCAATTAGGATATAAGAACATATAAACCATAGTTTTATCCTACGTAATTATTTGAACCATTATCTTTTATTTTAAATAAATTTTAACATCTATCCTGGTCCCTCATTAAAAACTTTATGGCTTTTACATCAAAAAAAGAACTCTCTCAAAGGCTCTAGCACAAAAATTAAAATTATCTGGATATAAGAGCGCATAAATTGTAATTTTATCCTACGAGGAATTCAAGAAAAAACTCTCCTAAAGTGTCTAACACAAAAAGATTAAAACTACCTGAATGTAAGAGTGTATAAATCGTAGTTTTATCCTATATAATTAAGACATAACTATTATTTTTCATTTTAAAGAAATTTTAACGTTTGTCTGTCTAGCCTCTCATTAAACATTTTGCGACGATTATGGCTTATACGTCGAGAGAGAACTCTTTCAAGGGCTCCAGCACAAAAATTGAAATTACCTGGATATAAGCGCGCATAAATCTTAGATTTATCCTACATAATTGTTTCGACCATTATCTTTCGTTTTAAAGAAATTTTAACATCTGTCCATTTAGACTCCACTAAAAATTTTATGGCGACTTTTGTGTCGAGAACTCTTAAGAGCTAAAATCAAAGAGAAAAAAATCGAAGTTATCTGCATATAAGAGCGTCTAAATCATAGAGTTTCATCCTAGATAATAATGTGATAATTGTTTTAACAATCTCTTTTATTTTAAAGAGAAAAACTTTGTGATTATTTTCGCGTCAAATCGACATATTATTAGCATCCACAGCAGTAAATATTTTATGTTTTACACACCTTTTCTCTCAGTGCAGGTAACTTTGATTACTACCTGAATACGAGAAAAGTATTTAAATACTTCTTGTGTGTCTAAAATCCGGGCATCAGAATAATTTGAGAAACACCCGGATTGCATCCGAAAGACTAGGATAGGTAGTACCCGAGATACCCGAGGTGCCCGGAAGTAACACCATTAATTTCTAGTCCTAGTTTAAAACCGACGCTTCGATCTTTCCTTCGTCCAGGCCTCGAGTTCTCTGAGGGAGCCAAATTTCCCGTCTCTCCCTCGGGTTCCTCCACGTCGCGCGGGGATACCGTGGCAACTCAGATTTCAGAGAGTTCGGATTTCCAAATTGGCTTTCTTTAAGTTCCGAGATATAATTAGGTTCGCGAAATCGAGCGAAAAGTCTTCGATCCTCCAACTTTTCAAGTACCGGTGTCCTGAAAGCTGGGGGTCCGCCAACTATCGGAATTTTATATCCTTCGTGCCCCGAAACGTTGTTACCTCGGATTCGCAGATCGGTTTCCTATCTTCTTGAATTTTGAAGTTGCCCATTAAAATTTGAGATCCTATGCCGCGCGCGACTATTCGCTGAGACTTTGATTTCCTTTGTCCCCCTACATTTCTCTCTGCCTCCCCCCCTCTCTCTCTATCTCTACACAGAAAGTAACTCCGATAATCCTAAATTCTCCCGACGAAATTCCTTTACGACCGGATCCTTACGGCCGGATCTTCGGCTTTCTAATTTCTCCTACCGGCTCCCCGTCCGATATCTCTCGTTTCTTAATTCTTACGCCTTCCTTCCGACTCTTCTGCGTTAAATACTTTGATAATTAACCCCGATCGCCGAGTCAGATATAACTTTCGCGAACTGTTCGGAACTCAGATAAATCACATATGTTAGTTGGCCGCTTAATGGTGTGAAACGCCACCTCGCAGCGGTTAAGGCTTGAAACGAGCCAGTCGACCGTAGCTCATTAGCTATTTAGGGCCGATTACACCGACGTCACTTAGCGCTAAGTGTGCTTACTCAATTTTCCCGTTGTGTATAAAGACAGCACGTCCAAGCCATGGTCGGGGGGAAGGGAGAGAGGATGGGGGCTTCAGGAAGAGGGCAACCGACCACAGTCGGTTTAATCAGTATTAGTGTGTTGTAACGATGACCAGTACGCAAACCTCGAAACCGATCGATTTCAGCTTTGAAACGCGCGTTCGCTCGCTAAGTCGACGCGGTCATTAGACGGAACTCGTTACTTCGTGACGTTTGACCGACGTCGCGGCGAGCGCGCGCCGTTCGGCGGATAAGAAGCGGCGGAAAAAGGCGAAGAGCGCGAAGAAGCGCTGCTGCAAAAAGTTCGCCGCAAACGCCACGGGGATTGCGAGTTCCGGCGAGAGCCGGCTTGTTGCCTGGCAACCCAGGCAACCAAATCTAATAGGAAACTCATTACGGCCAGGTCTTCCGTTTCACCAAACTAAATTCTTGACTCCCACCGCCCGCCACCCCCAGCCCGAACGTCCGCTCGCCCTACCCGCTTCTCGACGCGACAGCAACCCCGCTGTTCTCGTCTACCATGCATATAGGGTGTCCCGATATCGTCATCCCCATCTCTGGGAAACTCTCGAGAACGAGAGGATCGCTGCAAGCCACGAATCCGGTAATCCACGTCCGAGACTCAAAAGACCCGACCCCGTCGAGGTTAGATTATTAATAAACTAGCTTGAATTGAATTATTAATTAGGGTTCGGGTGTGAAGTTGGCTAATGTTATTATTAGGCAACTACAATTATGCCAGGTCTGTTAATTGTTGGATTAAATCGGATTAGATTTCCGACGGCGAAAACAATTTGCGCGCGGGACGGCGGAGACGACCGTATTTAAAAGGGTGGCGGCGGCCAGTTTTCGGTGACGCGTAACCGAGAAGCGACGACAGCGTGTTCGCGCACGATCGTAAATCCAAATTTGAGAATTCGATACCGTCGATAGCGGAATGAAAAACGGAAAGAGGCGCCAGGGAAAAAAGAGTAGAGCTGTGAAAGAGAGAGAAAGAGAGAGAGAGAGAGACGAGAAGAGGGGAGACTCGCGGCGAGTAGCGGGATAAAATAACGGACGCCCAGGAAATTCCACTCCGGTGACCGCGCAATTTTTATTCCCTCGCTCGCTCCCGTTATTCTTCCCCCCCTCTCTCTCTCTCTCTCTCTCTCTGTCTTTTTCATTTTTCTTCGTTTCGGAAAAGTGATGCCGCGCGCTTTGTGCGTACAACCAACACCAGCGATACCTACTAACCCCTATCCTCCACCCTCTCCCCCGTCCGTCCCATAGCCGCCCCTCGCTCCGCCGCCGCACCACCGCGTGTATACCAGCGTGTACCGGAAAATTTAAATCAACGAATAGCGTTCAGCAGTTTCATTGTAACGAGAAGAATAGGAGACGCGGAAGCGCGGCGCGACAGATACGCCGGAGGTTGAATATCAAATGGGACATGACCGGTGCTTTATTTCTATTCCGCTCTTTTACGCTCGTGCTTTTCTCTCTCCCTCTCTCTCTCTGTGGTGCGTGCAGACAGACGTGGGCTCGTAAGCCTGCAAACCCCACAAGCTTTGTGCGTTTTTCTCCCCTTGTCGCGGAAACGTCGAGAATCGTTATTGGATCGGACTAGACACGGCCGGAAGGCGAGAAGAAGACGAAACGAGAAGACAAGGTGCTCTCTCTCTTTCTCTCTCCCACTCTCTCTCTGTCTCTCTCTCTTTCTCTCTTCCGCCGTTTGTAAGATGAGCAAGATTGTATCGGCAATGCAAACGTTCTATTACACAAAAGTCCGTCGGAGTCCAAAACCGAGTTGGCAGGAGGAATTCAACGTCCTGCGGAGTCGGAGGGAAGATTCGGAGAGGACACAAACATCGCGCTATCCAACAGTTCAATCAGGATCGGATTGCGTTAGTAATGGAAACGTAGCGTTTCGCTAAAGTCGGAGGATGTAAATATAGCAGAGCTCTGGAAACTCAATTCCGCGAGAATTCGAGCTGCGAAATTTCTCAATGATGAATAACGAGAAGACATCGTTCTCTGTCTCTCGGCATACCAGGCAATCATTATAGTCAACAATATAATATAACAATCCGATGTAGTTAGAAACTTTAAAGAAACCCAGGGAAAATATGCGTAAAGGGACGCGTCATGCCGTGTGCGACAATTCCATCTCGATATCGGGACAATCTGTCGAAATTTCGCGAGAACGTGGTAAATCAGCAAGATCGACGGTTTCACGTCGATGAAATGACTTTTTTGATACTGAGAGAGTAAAGTTGCATCAGCGTGACGCATATATTAAGAGAAAAAATATTTGGTACTTGTAACTGTAATACCATAATTATATACTCTATGATAAAGGAATTACAAGGGAACCATTTTTCTAATAAGTATTACTTTTAATGCCAATGATAATAACTTTACATATGCTATTACTATTTTTTCGATTAAAATAAAATACATACATACATACATGTGTGTGCGTGTGTGTGTGTGTGTGTATACGGAATGTTCTAGTCTCGTAACTTTTAATTTTATCGAGAGATTCCCTGAACAATTTAGAATTAATTTTTCTTTAGCGAAAATATCGAGGGAGGTCATTATTTTTGACAACTTTTCAGTCTTCAATGTAACATATCTTTTTAGCCAAGTCTCAAATTGAAATTCTATCAAATTAAAGTTCATTTGAAATAAATGGAAGAAAATAATTTTATTATCCATTTGGTCGCTCGAAGCGTTGTTCGCGAAAAACTTCATTTTTCAATCGCTCATATCTCGGAAACTATTGGTGCCTCGACATTTCCGTTGAGGAAAAGTTAACTTGAAATCTCTCGATAAAATTCAAAGTCAAGAGAACTGGAACATTCCGTATATAGTTAGACCAAAAATAATTATAATTGAAAGGTTCGGCGCAAACCCGGCTAGTTCCATTTATGAAAATATATTTTTTATTAAAAAAACTCATACCGATAAAACTATTTTTGTCCAAAAATATACAGTATTAACAGAACGATCTTTACATATAAACAATTATCGTAAAAAGATTTGCATAATTTATTTTGCAAAACAGCTTTTTGTTGATATTGTACAATTAAAAAAAAATAAAACTAACCGGTTTTTTGCATCGAGTCCTCCAATTTCTCTCCGTGTACGTATGCGATGCATTCGTTTTGTCGAAAACATAAACGTCCCGAGTAATTAACGCGTTGACTGCCACGTTAATTTTCATTGATTGTTTCAATGCACAACTGAAGTTCAATCACCAAAGATACGGTAAATAAATGCAATTCGCGATGTATATGTTCGCTGGCTTGTTTCGTCGACTTCGTATTGTCTATACGTTTAATTCGTTGTGTGCAATTGGTTACATTTTTATACGAAGATTTGCGAGGCTTGACGATATCATAGCGCTGGTTACTGGTACGACCCGCATAGCAGTCCACGTGTTGATTAATTAATAGCTATCAATTCCAGGGTATCTCGGGTAGGGAAGACCGGTATTTGTTGTCACACTTTTTATGTAGTGATTAAAAAAAAAAAGATGCAGGCAATATTTCGTAATATCACGTACATTTTAATGAAACTACGTTTTTTAGCTTTAAAAAAAAATATTAGCCTCGTATATATTTATATAGAAAAAAATGTTCAGCTCTAAGCAAAATTATCAATGGGACAACTGCTTATTTGTTTGTTTCGCAGCAGAGAATCTATTCCGAGTACCTCGGCACCACCCAAATAATACCAGTAAGTTAAGTACCCGAGTATTACCTGGGTACAGAGTAGAGGAACACCCGGATTACACCGACAGCACTAATAATTAATACAGCAACACGACTCACTCCGGGCGGCGCAGCGAGCGAATCGCGCGATCTCGCGGGGATCACGGAATAAGGGCTCGGACAAGGGGACAGTTGGGCGTTTTTCCACGTAGCATGGGGCTTTCCAAATTATCGATTCGGCAGGGCCAGTGGGAAACAGTCGGCGCAACATCGTTGACCCAGATCCTGGCGACGGTAACGCCTCCCTTGTTAAGGCACTACGAGTGCCCTAAAGTTAATGCGCACCGGCGCAAGTATATACACGGGGCGACTCATAATGGAAATAATCCTCTTAGCCCCGCGAAGAACAGTCTCCTCCAGTATGTCGGCGGGTAAATATGACGGATAATTTAATGGCGCGCACCGCGTTTCGAGCGAGGCAAACACCGGCCGGGCCGCGCCCCTTGCGAGAGGTGAAATATCGCGGCCAAACTTGCCGGCAGCAACAATCGTAGCTCGCGATTTCATTCGGAAGGAGAAGAGAAAAGGTGCCGGTCTGCTGATGGTGGTGGCGGCAGTAGTGGAGGCCGCTCGCCGAAGGCGAACCTCCACCTGACTCAATTAACGCTAATTTAATTTTCCCTTCTGTCCATGTTAAGAGAGACTGAAAATAATTGACTACACGGCTATCGGCCGACGCTGCGCCGATAATTTCTCGGTTTGGCGAGAGCCAATTGGAAAATTACTCGGAGGGTGATTCTAGTACACTGAGATATCCATTTAGTTGAGTCGACTAAATTCTTACTTGACTACGGGCAAACATATTTTTCGGTCGTGACAGCCAAAGTTCGACTGTCTAAACCGGAGGTTTGCTTCTCTGAAGTTTTAGAAAACTAAACCTTGCTTTTTATAGCCAAAACATTTGTTTGCCCAGTCAAACAAGAATTTAGTTGATTCAACTAAATGGGTTTCTCAGGGTAGCGACAGACTTCTCGTTCTCGTCCGATTGACATAGCAACGACGAGCAATTTCGACAGTGTGCCGAAAACCCACTACCCGTTATTGTCGAGTAACTCGCAACATCTGCGGAGGTATAATAATTCGCCATTTCAACTTCGGGGACGATGGTCCCTCTGCGAAGAGAAAGAAAGATAGAGAGAGAGAGAGAGAAAGAGACCCCACCGTTGATAAAAAATATAATTTTTGCGCGAAGGAGGTTCGTATAATTTCCCCATATCATGGAATTGGCGCGCTAGTGTTAAATCAAATTTCGGGTCGGGCTGTCCCGACGGAACAAATACGGGAATAAATATAAATAAATGTAGGCGGCCTGGCAGATTTACGAGTCCGAATTTATTCGGCAGGAACGGAAGGGAGAGAACACGCGGGAGGGAGGGAGAGAGAGAGGGTGAAGTCAGTACGCTGACGAATGTATTCCGACGCGAACGAAGTCGAACGGTCTCTGTGCATTCGCGACAATACTGCGCACCCGACAGACCGGGTATATAAGACTGTAGCCAATGGCGCCATCCGGCTGTCATAAATATCGCCTCGACTCCGCCAATTGATAGCGATATCTCGCCCGGCGAAACGATACGCAAAGTAGGACGTGATACGTGTCTCTGTACGGTAAATCACACCAGCTGCTGGCTGCTCCACCAGACGAGCCAATCTCTCCACATCCCCCAGCCGTTTAACCCCTTCATCCAGAAGGACTGCGTTCGACGCGATGTTCCTGCCTGATCGGACAATACGAGGATTCGGAAACGCGAAATCGCCCGGACCGTGTAGTCACCGATTTTCGGGCAGAGTGAGTGTGAGAGAGAGAGAGAGAGAATCGTTCGATAACACCGGACACGCGCGTCGAAAAGAGAAGAAAAATAGGAAACCGGACAACTCGCGCGAGGAAGCCGAACGTAACACGGCGATATCCACAACTGCGACACAACCGTGCGATCCCCCAGAGCTACTTACATCCGCTATCCCCGCGTTTTCCTCTCCCTCCTACCCCGCAGCGAGAGACATTCCTACTTCCGTCTCGTTGTATCCCGCTATTTATCTCGCCTGTCCGCCGACACGCGGCCATCGGAATTAACCCCATCGGCGGTAATTCCGGGCGCGATCGGGACAATGTTGTACCAGCCGTAACCGACGATAATGGACACCGAGCGCGCGGAGAGCCTCGCACCGACCGACCGACCGACCATAAGCGGTGGCTTGTTTTGATTGCAGGCTTTCTAAACGCCAACACAGACTCGCACTTACGCTCACCGGCGAATTACGGCCTGATGGACCAGATCGCGGCGTTACACTGGGTGCAGGAGAACATCGGCTATTTCGGGGGCGATCCTGGAAACGTCACGCTGGTGGGACACGGCACCGGCGCCGCCTGCGTGAACTTCCTGATGACCAGCCACGCGGTTCCTGACGGTAAGGGCGCGCACCTGCGGCTCGCGTTAACCGGGCGAATTGAATTTACCACCTGGTTGACGAGTCTCGCTCGTTCCCCTCCCCCTTCGGCCGACGGATCATCCGTGAATTACGCGAAGTTATCGCGGTAATCCGGCCGCTTTTCTCTCCCCGAGAAACCCGCGCGGAACCTTATTTTTCTCCGCCCGATAAGCTCGGCCGAAAGTTCGGCTCGATTTTCCGCTCCCTTCCCACCCGGTAAACCGGCCACCTTATACTGAATAAATATGAATAATCTGCTTCCATTCAACGCAATAAGGTCGAATTTTCGTTGAAAAAACAAACCGAGCTTTACGATCGATCCAATATTGTTCTTTTCGGTCTTTTAACAGGTTTACCGCTTCGCTGATTTTCATTGGTTGTACAAAAGCTTAATCGGTAATCAGAATGTTAAAGATTTCGCAGCTCGGTATAAAGGAATGTAATTTCAGATACATGTATCCTTTACCCGCGTTTCATTGATGGCCAAAGCAATTCTCAACGTGCAATTAATTATACTTTGTACGTAATTTAGTGAAACGAACTGGTAACCATCGTGACGGTTCAATACGTTAACTTCGGATACATTCAAAGAAATGACTTAGTAGCAGCTAAATCTCATTAGTTAGCTCGAACCTTGTTATCATTGTTAAAAATTGGCTGTTCGACGTAAAATATCTATGTTTAAACTATATATAGTCACTTTTACATATTATTATTCCTAATAAAGTTATAAGTAATTTTTTGCAGTGTTGAACGAAAGTTTTACGTGCATGGTCACCATGATTTCGGCCATTGTAGGCATCTAAAATCAAAACAGCAAAAAATTATCAAACTATAAACTTGTGGCTATCGTTCCTACCACGATGCAGAATAAAAAATGATTTTTGACAAAATGGCGCGATTTAAAAGAGAAAAGTCGATTTTTGACCAATTTTTTTTTCAGCCTTCGGCATATTTAAAAATCGAAATATTAACGATATTGACTTTATTGCGGTAGGAGCAATAGCCGCAAGTTTATAGTTTAATAATATTTTTTTGGTGTTTCTGTTTCAAAAGCTTACATCTGGAATCATGGCAACCAACCATTTTGCGTTCAACGTTCACAAAATTATTCATAATTTTAACAATACTGAAAATAATGTGGAGAAATTACAGTTAATAGTTAAGACATGTACAAATATTTGTGTAAATCTTCAAAATTGTATGTCGTAGCTTAAAAAAAATCCCAAAATTTACTTAAATATAAGGATTATGAATACCGACATAACACTTTAAAAACAGCTTCTGTTGAAATAAAACAATAAATTGCTACTCAGAAATATGAACATGATCTTAACATTAGCGGTCTAGCTACAATTTTTCGCTGCAGAGCCCAAATTCAAACAGCTGATAAATTTAGCTGCGATAGCACTGACACTAGCTGTCCCTATTTCAAAGGCACATTTTAGCTGCCACAACGAGACTTGAACTCCAACGGCTGATTCTTTTTCTGAATATACAGTCCGTTGCAAGTGTTTCGAAGCATTTTTTTACACACGGAGATTTAATGACGTTTATATGTGGCTAAAATACTTCGGAGAGTCCGATGGGCTCTGCCTTTCGTGATACGAAAACAAATCGCGTCACACGGTTTTATACTGACGAAACGATAGTCGGACATTCACCGGAAACGTTTCTCGAACATCTTCGAGCATATTTCGATCTCGGACATCTTCGGAGAAACGATCGCGTAATAGTTTATTGTCCTGAAGCAAGTCGTGGAACCGTTTCTCTCAGCGTTGCAACGTGGAAACAGATAACGTCACGCAGAAACAGGACGCGGATGAAGGAGCGGGAGCGGGAGGAGGTCGAAGAGCGAGAAGCCGCACGAGACAATGATACGGAGGAGCCAGGAATAATGGGGTGGTTTACCAGACGCCATAAATTACGGGAGAATCAGCTGGCCCGGCTAACATTGACAACTCGCAGCTGTAGTGAATTATCATCCGGAGAAGCTGCCGGCGATAAGCTCTGCGGTCCCGGAACAGATTGCGACACTTTGTTTTTTGCCCCCTCGATAAAGCTGGGACGACCGCGCGACATATCGAAGAATACGACGAAGAACAATGGGCGAACGCGGGGATATCCGACCAAGAAATTATATCGCGTCCCTTTCCCACCCGAGTTGATCCCGCGTTCTCGCGCAAAAGCTGACCGCGATCCCGGCGATAAATAATAAGGGATAACATCAAAATGCTTGCACGCGCGTGCTTTTAAGGAGAAATTTTAAATGAAAATTAAACGAAGAAAGCGGGCGCACGCGAAAAAAAGAAGCGATATCGTAACTTAGTACGAAGATAATTCTCGATTTCTTTCTTGGAAAAAAAAAGTGAGATCTTGATTTCAATATTTCTTTTTGCCTGTCCCTCTGCTTCTCTCTTTCTCTTTCTTTCTCTTGACCCCGCCAGCCAGATATTTAAATTCTCCTTTGTGATTCCCAGGATTTCTTGTTTTACGGTTCCTTTTAATTTCTGAGTTTTACGCAGTTTCAATGCCCCGAGTTGCTTTTCAATTTCTTAAATCCTCTCTTCCTTTGATTCGTCCAAAACCGAATTCATCGGTTTCTCGGTTTACTCTCGATTCAATGCTCGTTTAAAACTTGATTTTTCGATTACACCCGGTTTCATCGCTTCGATCCCGAAAGCCTGGAATTTCTTTCTTGGTTGCGCGATTTTTTGAATCCTCGGCTCTTTTAAATCCCCGTGTTCGGCCCCCCTCCCCCTCCCCTGTTCCTTCGGGTCGCACGCCTTTGGCTCGTCGGACGCTTGGATACCAGCTCCCCCGGAGGAATTAATTAATCCTCGGGTATTATGGAGGGCTGCCATTAAATCCGAGTAACGCGACGGAATTTGAGCTGGCGATAATCCTTTAATAGTCCTTTAATGTCGCGAGCTTCGACACCGTCTTATCGTTCGGTGTCGTCCTCTCCGCGACGACGAAGACGAGGACGACGAATACGACGGATATCGACGACGGAAGAACGGGGCCATCTTGATTCCGTAATGTCGGAAATACGTCGAGGATGCTACCAGGATATTCAGAGTTTACCCCGGTATCTCCTTCGCTAAATGAATGAGATCCAATCGGATATCGACGTGTATCGGACTGATAAGATCGTTGCCGAAGGTAACGTGTATATCGTGAAATATCGAGGTAGCCGATCGACCAAACTGGGATTACACGTGGGAAAACGCTGTCTGTCGCTTTTAGTTTACCAAAAGGAGACCCGTTCGCGCTCGACTACTTGAATTTTGCTCCCGAGTGCGCCGAAGATCCTGGAAACTTATTCCAAGATATTAAGGAATTCTTCCCCGCACGCGTACGAGTTTATAATTATACACAGGAATAATTCAATAATAAAGTGTGAATCTGTATGTGTGATGTGTATAAAGTCAATATACAATAGTTATAAAATACTAAATAGAGGAGATATAAATAAAGGAGAAGGTGATATTATGATTCCCCATTTACATTTTACACAATAACTTTGGATAACCAATATTTTAAATTGTAAACTTTAACGATTACATTCGTCAAAGTGTTGTTCAATCGATTCTAGACTCAAAGTTATGAAATTTATTGCTTAGGACGTTATTTATCAAAAAAATGTGGCAACATTGCATAATAAATCGGAAGGAAACAGATATGATAAAATGACCTCTCATGAAAATAGATTTAAAAAGTTAGTTTCGTTAAAAAAACACGGTATTTTGTTCTCCCTTAAAATAGAATTAAGAAAAACGATTGAGACATGATCCGTTTCTCCGATTGCCGAATTATTTATATGGATGGATACACGTGCACACGAACGAACACGAGGGCTTTTTCACAATTCGCGGTTGACGCCGTGTGTACGGAGAAATACAGCGAGGCGGCAGCTTTCATAGAAAGGATCTCATCTTCGAGGTATCAAGATTAACGACTCGCAAGATTGGGATTAAGCGACTTATCCTAGTCTTCTGTATTAAATAATAGACGAGGAAGCTGGTAACGTCGTGTTCGCCCGTGTCGTCTTAATTTTCCTAGAGCTGCAATCCCTGCAAGCCGTGCAAGCTCCGCTTGCACACTCGTGCCTATTCATCTCTTGCATAATGTCCAATTTTGCAACGCGTAATGAGAAAATTAATGACTAACAGGCGCCAATCGAAGCCTCCGGCCGATATTAAAAGCATTTTATCATTTTAAACATTCTGCAAGCTTTTCTCTCTCTCTCTCTCCCTCTCTCTTTCTCAATGGGGAAAAGTGTTAATTAAGAAAAAGATGAAAAGCGTCTCAACAGTTCCGCAAAATAAGACGAGTTGCGTTTGTTCAATTATTCATATTCCTCTCCCGCTCATTCTTCTCCTTCTACTTTGTGTTTGATTCATACTTGTAAATTAGATTCGTACTCGTGAATTAATAATGACAGAGGTAATTCATGTAGATAATATTAATGAAATGTATCTCGCGGGAATTTATATCGACGCGAAATTCAATTTCGCCGCGAATTTTCCCCGCGAGACTCTTCCGAACGCCGGACATCTCACGACATCGCTAAGGACCCGCGGCTCGATTCTTCTTTTTTTTAGACGTCCTTCGCGAACGACATACGGGGGGACACGCATCTTCCTCGTCGTCATCTTCGAAGCGGAAATCGCTGATAACGTCGTAATGGAAGTCGCTGATTGGAAATAAATCTATCGAGTGACCGAGATGGGTATTCGTTACTATGCATTGAAACTCGGATTGTGTTTCGTTTATTCAGGTAATATCGTAGTTCCGTTCACGGCGAGGAATCGATCCTGAAATCATCTCGAAATTCAATTCTCTTTCTCTCTCTTCGTCGCGATATATAATCTCTCCCCTTCGCGAACAAACACTTTTGCATTACGTGATATGATTTGCGAATCCCGAGATAAAGCGGGGTCCTCTCGAAAAGCGCGACCGGGAAACTTTCCGCGGATCCTGGAATCGCATCGTATGGATATCTTGAGATATGGGATTTTTACGACGCGGAGTGCTCCGGATACCGGCGCACAGTGTGTGATGCGGAGAGATGGAAGAACCCAAAATGTTGCAGAAATTTTAAATTTACGTTTTTAACGTTCTTATGTATCGTTTGTTATATTTTGAGATACCTAACAAATAATAGTATCTTGCTATAAAATCGAATATATTTTACTCATTTGATTTAAGGAAAGAATCTGAAATCGTAGAGATAGGCTTTTATATTGTAACTATTGTTTAATATCCGTTTGACCAAAACGCATTTCATATATTTCAAATGTGTACACAAACGGAAAGAAGTAGTTTGATTAATAATATTTCTAGCAGCATGCGTAATTGAAGTAAATTTTCTTGATTCAATAGCGATATCATTGAAATTAATACTCTAATTATTGAAACAATTCATAACACAGTGGTGTTAATGATTTGCCCCGTTGAATCGAGAAGATTTATTCCAATTACGCTACTGTTGGAAATTGTTTTGATCCAGCAGCATTTATTCCGTGTAGTTTTACTTTATATGTGACATTTATATGTGACAATTACTTTCCTGAAGCTTTTAACAAAAATCCTGTTATAGTATTTATGCTGCTTATGCTGTAGTGCAATGATATTTAAAATTTCAAGTGTTTACTTTATTATGTCTACACGAAGAAAATATTGTAATAAAAATTATCATAAAATTTTGTAATACTGAATCATGGAATTATTGTTCAAATTATTACGTTATAATCTTTAGTGATGTGTTATAATCTTTAGTGATGTGTACACATGAAATCCATCGCTAAATATTAGAACACATATAATAATTTTAATTATAACTCCGGTATGATTCAGCATTGCAAAATTTTATGGTGACTTTTACCACAATATTTTCTCCGTGTATATGAAATACTCCATTTTCCTCCAATCTTTTAATTGTATTTTTGGCAGCAGACACTATTACTAAACCATAAAAATTACGTACTACTTCTCGCAACTTTAGCTGTTATTGTTACTCTTATATAACATAAAATGTATAATATATAATATAAAATACTACTCAGTATATATAATGTTACTTAATAATTATTATTAAGTAAGAAATTGTAGAATAATTGTTTTGTAACGCGCCCGTGCGCGATTGTGACAATTACAAACATAGATTAACATAATTAGTGTTACTTTTATTTCATTTCTCTCCATGCTAGATGTTTTCATATTATTCTCCACGTGAACGTAGAATTTCGAGGGGAAATATAAAAAAGCGAGATCGTAAAGAATGTGAAGAAATGCCGAAGATATGAAGTTCTTCACGCAACTCCATGTACAGTGCGTTACTGTGCGGCGGGGACGCGAGGAATGCAAAGACCGCGATTCGCGCTAAGGTCGTGCGCGCGGCACAACGTGCAGACGGCGCAATAGTTGCTCCCGAAAAATTCCAAACGCAGTAGCAATAATTCCGGAGAGGCGGCAGCAATAATTCCCGAACATCGAGAGGGGGAGCGCTCGGACGAGTAAAGATAACACGCGAAGACCAACACGCGCGTTTCTCCGTGTGTGCGAAACTCCCCGGGACGAGATCGAACGTTCGGAACGAGCGAGTTAATGACTAACGACTGCGGGACGCACCTCGTAGAGTGCATTAACAATGTTTTAATACCCGGCCAGCGCCTCATTTATTATTATTATCATTAGCGAGAACGATTAATTATGCTTACGGAAAATATGTCATGCATACGGCATTACGGCGCACGTTCGTTCTCGCACTCGCTCGCTCACTCACTATCTTTCGCTCTCTAACACGCAGGTCTGCTGTTCCATCGAGGTGTCCTGATGTCGGGCAGCGCGCTTTCACCCTGGGCGTTGGTAAGAGGCGCCGCCAATTACGCCATGCAGGTCGCCAAACACCTAAATTGTTCGTCGGTGAGTACCAGCAAACATGTCCCGATCGCGCCGAAATTATTCGTCGCGTCAGTTTATAATTTCATTAACGCTTCCGCCCGTCCTTCCGTCACGCGCACGCGAGCCCCTTATCGCGGGAATGATTTTCCCGTTTCCAATTATTAAATAATGGATTCAGAGGCGGGGATAATGGGGGGGGG